CAAACCCAAACCCAAACCCAAACCCAAACCCAAACCCAAACCCAAACCCAAACCCAAACCCAAACCCAAACCCAAACCCAAACCCAAACCCAAACCCAAACCCAAACCCAAACCCAAACCCAAACCCAAACCCAAACCCAAACCCAAACCCAAACCCAAACCCAAACCCAAACCCAAACCCAAACCCAAACCCAAACCCAAACCCAAACCCAAACCCAAACCCAAACCCAAACCCAAACCCAAACCCAAACCCAAACCCAAACCCAAACCCAAACCCAAACCCAAACCCAAACCCAAACCCAAACCCAAACCCAAACCCAAACCCAAACCCAAACCCAAACCCAAACCCAAACCCAAACCCAAACCCAATTCGGTTTCAATTGAGGAAGTTCTTTATCACTCGGAATTGATGGTGAATTAAATAAGAAATCCTTCATCATTGACATTCCATCGAGTACTGATTTATCATGATTCACTCCAATCCAAGGATCTTTAAACTTTTCTGGAGGTATTACTACTGTAGTAGGTGAAGATGTTGAAGATGCCAAAGATGATGAATTTTTCGGAACATCCCAATGATCAGGTATTGTTGTATTCAAAGATGATGTTGTTGAATTATCATTCATAATAACCCTCTCTACCAAAATCTTCATGGTTCTACCATTACTGGAGGAGGTGCCAGTACTTGTCATTCTTCTAAAGAAATGATGTGCTGCTGCAAGTTTGTTGTGGGCGAGAAGTGATTTAATTTTTTTTGGAGTTGTTAAATTTTTTAAAACAAACTTCTACTTGGTTACTTGAGAATGAAAAATATGCTGCGCACGCATTCTTTCATTAGTAATATATTCAAGAATCAATAATTCATCGAGGACAATAGGAAATGTCCGCCTTATTGAATGCTTGTTTCAGCAACTTGTTGGTTCAATAGACTTGTTGTAATTTTGCAGAAGTTCATGTTAAGCAGTTATTACAAAATGTATCTGCAATTTTATTAGATCTGTAAAATC